TTTTCTCATTCAGGAATGATCTCTCCACAGCTCTGCAAAACAATTGAACAGAAAAGACCATATTTTTATTGCAAAAGCTGTCCAGAAAGGACAAAACAAGGAATATCTAGTCAGAGATTAGTCTCACAAGGAAATGCTTGACTCACCACTCAGTTGTTAAAATCAGCTTTGAAGAGCTTGAGTGTGCTACTCGCGTGTTCAGTTATGGGATACCTGCCGTAGGAAGGGAAAGGAGCAATAGCAGGAGCCATCACTTGAGGGATGATGTATTCTTTGTGTGCCTCAGGCAGACCCATGCAATACCCGAAGCTCGGAAGCACAGGGCTGGGACTGAGGAGACCTAGCATCTATGCATAGCTTTGCTACACACACCCCGAGTAGCCACATCCTCGGTTAATATCCCCTGAATTCCAGGCGTGACAGGCACCTGAATGTCAAGCCCGTCTCAGCTCTGTGCCTCCATTTTCAAGGGGAAATTCTGCCCTTTCTCTTCAGATTGGGCGTGTGCTATGGCAGAGGATGCTCCCCTCCTCTTTGTGCAGAGTGGTGCCAGCAGCATGGCTCCTGGAGTTTGTAATGGAGAATGGGAGTATAAGCTTTGGGATGGCCGGCTTAAAAAATAAACTTTGTGTGATGCTGTTCCTTGTAACAGAACCTGTATCAAAGATCTGCCAACAAAGTACCAATACTTCTTTGTTATTTCTTATCTGAGCCTTGTAACCTATTAAACAAGACTATAAATATAGTCATCAAGAAAAATAGTATTAAATGTTAAATAGTTGCAAAAAAAAAAAGAATAATGTTTCTGATTAATTTTCTTTGTCAAATAGTACCCTAAATGGTATTAAAATTTGTCACTTAATCAAAGAACTGTCTAAACTATGTGCAATTACATTTTAAAAAATTAGAACACAATTTGCCCAGGAGATAAATAATTATGGTCCAATTTTATAAGTGTATCTCCAATTGTTAGGACATACTTTAAATAGGAGCAAATATGTACCAATTAATTATAACTTAGAAGATTATTCTTAGCTCATTGTAGAGCTTTGTTATTCACTCTTGAAAAAAAAAAATCCCTGTAAAGGCACAGCACGATTTTAATTAATTTTTTTCTAACTATTTAATTTTTAACTTTTTTCCCAAAGTGTTTAATTTTTAAACATGAGCTCTGCTAGCTACATATTTCATTCTCACCATCATATCTCTTAAGCAAGAAAAATAAAGTTGAATAAATTGGATCAGTATTCAAATAAAAGCCATTTAAAGTGATGCTTTCAAAAGTTAATCTTTATTCTTCTGAAGTATCCATCAATCATATTAGCTCTTTAAAAATGAGAGCAGCCTTGAAGGCCCAGATGAGGTTTAATGTAGGAAGGGGATACGTTCTGCAGTGTTACTACCTAAGTGGTACTGAAACAATAGTAATTTTATCCACTTGATTTAGTTAATACAGGGGGCAAACATTGCACATGCTGATCTAGTGCCTTGGAACTGCAATTTTGGAACAACATTTTCCATGACGCTATAAAATTAAAAAATCTGTAGGCTGGGGAGATTTCACGTGTTTAGATAACGATGAAATACAGGCTCATAATGACTGGAGGAGAGAGAAGGCAAAAATCCCCACAAATGGAGAAAATTCAATTAGAGGGCTCTCTGCTGAGGCAATAGTTAAAGAGAAATGACTTTGGGGATATTTGCATTTTCATAAACAATTTTCATTTCCACAAGAAGAACTCTGCTGTCTACAGTCCTGATTATAAGCCTCTCACAGGAGTAATTTGTAGCTCTTCATAGCTGTAAGTTTTGTTGTTTCTGAAGCTAAGCCTTTTAAAATCAGTATTTGTTTTGATGTCTTGGTTTGTAGGAGTTGATTTTTTTCACGTTGTCCTAAACTTAGCTTATAGATAAGAGACCTAAAACCTTCCCTGGAGCAATGGGTTGAATGATATTGAGTAGACCTGCTGCAGCACTGCGAGTATGCTGTTACCGATTTGGGTGGCAATAGAGTTTTCTTAGCAAGAAACACGGTGACATGTAGGCATGGGATCAGTGCCATCGTTTGTCCTCTTTCCTTCCCAGAGCATGCAAATGATCCCATGGCTACCGACTGCACTGCTGCTAAAATTGCTAGTGTTGGCACTTAGAACGTGAGAGAGGAAGTAGCTGGGAAAGCCCATTGAATTGGTATGTTTTACTGTAAATTTAAAAAATGTAAACCTCACAAGTGAGGAATGCTGACCTTCCTGGGGTTAGACATCCACTTCTAGGTACCTCTGCTGCTGACTGTACTAGCTGAACACAGAGTGATAGTCCTTCCAGCACAGACTTCCTACCTGAATTAATGGGGCAATCAGCCAAAAGAATTACTTTTTCTAGGTGCCTTATAGTTCCTTAGAGTATCTGTTGGCTGAGCCGCATCTCTTTCAGTAAACCAAAGGTAATATTTCTGCCAAAAGCAAAGCTCAGAAAGAACTATGTGTGCTTCTAAAAAAATGATTTATTGTTTGTGTGTAAAGATATAAAGTCCTTCCTTCACTGAAATAAGGCTTGACTGGGTTCAGTTGTTCTTCATATTTGGATATCATATGTTAAGACAGATTTGGGGCAACGGATTGTTTCGTCCCACAGTCAGGATAGCATTCCTTAGTCCTTTTGGTTTAGCATATGTTCTTATGGCTGCTCTCAGTGTATTAAATCCCAAATTAAAAGTAAAAAAGACGAACCCATAAGCTGGTAAGGAGGTTGTGCTTTAAGGACAAATAACCTAGTGTATCAGAAAATTAAGACACAATGATAATTAATATCACCTTCATGTTCAATGCAGTGTATGTGTATATGGCTGCATATTTATGTTACTGTAATTGCTGACCCAAAGTTTTGAGAGAGTTACAGTTATTTAGAAAACTGTAAGCCTTTAAACCACACAAAGGCAGCACCTAAATGCCTGCTCCATTAATTTTAGTGTGTCTTGATTTCTTGTGTTTAAATATGTAGCCTTAATTTTCTGTAATACCCTCAATTATGTGCAGTTTCCTTTGCATACACTTTTTGAAAGAAAGGTTAAATGGGGAAAAAATAAACTGTTGATATTCATTAATGTTTGAAATTTCGCAACGAGGGCTTAATGATAGACTTTCTAGTAGGAAGTACAGGTTCCATCACAGTGAAATGGAAATTCAGCACCTAGCACATGTGGATAATTCTGTAAATGTCAACCAAACTCACATTTTAATAATGTTAACTCAATTTTTGAGAATCAAACCTCAGTAGTATGGAAAGGCTGGTGAAAGTGATAACTTTTTTTCTTTACTGCCCATGTATGTTTAAACACTATCCCTTTTAATGGATCTGGTCAGCTGTAAAGATTTTCTGGTTTCCTTGGTCTTGGCATAGCAGTTCTCTAGGGACCACAGAAGCAGTTGCATAAACCATACATAAGCCAAAACCTACTGATCCTGGCTAAATTTCAGGAGAGTTACTGACTTTTTTCAGTGCCAAGCTTTTTAGGTCATCTGAATGTTGAGGTGAAACATCTAGGAGGGTAATAGGAAGCATCAAGGGGGAGGAACTGTGGAACCTGCATTTTTTGGAGGTCCCATCTATGCATTGGTGACATGTAGGAATTGCTTGAGCTAAGTGGTCATAACCATAGCAATGCTGATTGCCTGGCTCGGCTCGGGACAGGCATGTTCTCACACAGCAATTTGGTGGTGGGAAGAGAAGAAACAGCAAGATCTTGAACCATGCCAGGATCTTCACTGTAGTACCAATCTACACTGGCTAGATGGTAGCAGTTCATGGCAGAGATGAGATGTTGCTCCTCTGATTTTGCTTTAGAAGGCAATATTACTGGTTTGTGCTGCGCATAGTTAAAAGTTTCTTATTCCTAGCAACTTTAAAATGGATTGCATTTCTCTTGCCTACCATTTCAGTTTTGTTTTGGAGAGTTTACTCCTGAAAAAATGTCTTGGTTTCTCTGCATCAAATGCAAAATACCTCAGCACTAGTCAAGGCAGCCCTTTGTGGCTCTGTTAGCATCGGACTCTGCTAAAAAATCTCCAAGAAGCAGCACAATCCTGAGGACACATGGTCAAAGTTATCAGCTGAACTTCTTTAACAAAAACACTCATCACAGAGTATAATAGAAAATTTCAGTGGAAGAAAGTCTTTTTTCTGGAGAATGAATAGATGGGGGGTAAAAGAACCTGTTTCAGCTTCTGTGCTTCTATAGGAAACATAAACAGGGTAGGATATCAAAAGTCCATCTGAGATCTTTTTAGAAGAAGATGGTATGTAGGCACATCCTATAGTAGGTCTGAATTTGGCTTCAAGAAGTTTTCATTTAACTGTAGCCTGTGTTTATATTACTTGAGCAGTATGCACAGTTCACAACCATTCTGTGGCATAGCTGGTTTTGTACTGGTGTTAATACGCTGAAAAAAATGAATGGATCTTTATATTTTCTTCACTCCCGAAACCACCTTTTTTAAGTAGCGTTGTCTCAGCGCATCCTTCCTTACTTGTATGTTACTATATGAAGATGGAGCACTTTACAGCACAAGCAAGAAGGAGTTTCTGGCTGATCAGCTCCTGTTCTAAAGCCTCAGTACTAAGGACAAGAAGAGGAGATTTGGCGTAGAGCCCAGCAACAGAGTGATAAGATCCCGTGCTAATTTGGAGAGCTTATGTTAGCTGTCCCACAGGTTATGTGGCACATTATGTGTTGATGAACTGGATGGCCATAATTTATAGTCTCCTGACAATGTGACAGTGTTATGAAAAGAATGGCAAGCATGTGTTACCCATTAGAAAATCCATTAGGGTGGCCTAGAAAATTTTGATGGCAGTAAAGAGATGGAAATGTAATTTTCCAAAAAGAGATTACTGTTGCACTTCAGTTGTGGAGTCTCATAAATGTTGGGATGTTCCTCCTTTGTTTCCAATATCAGGAGGCTGCTTGTTTACTGCAATGCTATTACTGATTTCTTTTGTAGAATCCCACTCAATGTGAGAGACATCGTCTACTGTACAGGAGTGTCACTGATGGATGAAGATGTATGGGAGTTCATTTGGATGAAATTTCATTCTACCACAGCAGTGTCTGAGAAGAAAATATTATTAGAAGCCTTAACTTGCAGTGATGACAGGAACTTGCTCAACAGGTATAAAAATATTATATATCTGTATCTGACTATTACCAATAATCACTTCAACATTTATGGATCATCACTTGAGCTTTGGTCTAAATGAAAGAACTTTGCATTTCAAGGACAGGCTTGTTTAAAGTCACTTATGTTTTTGAATTAATGCATGTGAAAATTGACACATTTCACTTTCAAATTTTCCTACGTTCATTGGAAATGCTGGAAATCTTATAATAACTGCTGTTACTTTTTTGTTAACATATCCTTTATTTAAATGTATTGACCAGTCTGATCTTAATGATTTCATAAATATGCACATGTAAAGTTCCACTCAGCTTTTGTTGAAATCCTTTTACATCAAGATTTCTCTGGTTCATAAATGTGTCTGGTCTTTGGAATCATAGAAATAAACCACTGAACTGACTTGGAGACTTAAACAAACCATTTGGCAGTGATTTTTTTTTTTTTTCTGAGAGTTTTCTCATGTGCTATTGTTAGACTATATGTTAGTGAAACTAAATAGGTTTTTTTTTTCCTTGTTTCTCCCACAAGGCTTTTGAATTTGTCTCTCAACTCCGAAGTTGTCCTGGATCAGGATGCAATTGATGTGATAATCCACGTAGCTCGAAATCCACATGGAAGGGATCTTGCTTGGAAGTTTTTCAGAGAAAAATGGAAAATATTAAATGCTAGGTAAAGATCAAAAGTCTAAGTTTATTTTCAGTTTCTTATTTTGATGTAATTTGTGTAAGTATTGTATATGCTTGTATTCACGTAAGTTACTGCATCTCGTCCATTCTCTTTTCATCCATAGAGATGTCTGTAACTATAAAATACATACATATGATACATAAATGTATTTATTCCTGGATTATCACACACATGCATAGAAACATTCATCTCCGCAATCATCTGTATACATATCTATAACTATATTGTGTCTGCGCTTATGATAATGAATTCTATCTATATGTCAAGTGCTGCAGTTCTACTTTTACATAGATAACAAAGCAGCAGTTCCCATGGGTATTTTCCTGATTTTAAGTCTGATAGAAAAAAATTCTTTTCAAGAACATCATTTCAACTGTGGAAAAAACTACCAAACCCTTTCTGAAACATTACCATTTTCAAAAGGATGCTAATATAGTGTCATCCCCTTTCCTTCCACTCTGTGTTTCAGGTGAGTTTCATGTAATAGAGGAGCAACATTTTGAATTAAAAATAGATGAACAGGAAGGAGACAGGGTTGTTCCTTATACCTGCTTCTCTTTCTCTTTGAACAAGTGCTACATGCTCCTACTCAGAAGCCCAGTCAACATTTTGGAATCCTTTTTGATGAAGATTTTGATACTAATTCAATGAATGAGAAATTTCTGTAGTTCTTTAGGGACAGCCTGAGGGTCTGAAAGATTCCACAGCAGCTCATCTGATGATGAACCTCAGGTGAGGTTCAAGTTCTTAAAGGCAGGTGTCCAAGAACATCAGACGCCCCGTGCCAGGCTACTGCCGTGGTGTTGGCAGAAAAAGCATTGGAGATCTGGTACGTTCTGGACTTGTGAGGAGCCATCTAGCATACCACAGAATATTTGAAATGGTATATTTAAGATGCTGTATTTAAGCAACTAAATCCTGGTGCCTGATAAATACAGGTACAAACCTGCTATGTGTTTCATGGCATCAAAAGAAGAGTCAAAGAAACTCAGAGTCTGTGCAACTTCCCTAAAGATTCAAAAAGTTGTTCATGCTGTTTTGGGTAATACTTTATAGTATAGTGGGATTTTACAAGAAGTTCAGCTGGGAAAATAGGTTTGAGCTGGAATTGGTTTTGGAAGTTTATACTGCAGGAGCATACTTTTTGAAAGCAATTTCCAAAAAGCTTTAAGAGTACTGAAGAGTTTAAAAATTAAGAATCCTCTGCTTCTGGTATGATTATTCCAGGAACTGGACTTTTACACAGAAAGTGGATGGCAGACCCATTACTAGTTTGCAACCCAGCGCAGTTAGTTATGCTCTGGATAGCAAATAATTTTTCAGGTTCCTCCAGGGATTTATACAGACTTCAGGCATAAATCTGTCAAAATTTGTATTGCTACAAACACATATACAGAAACTATGTCCTGCCTTAGCAAGTACGTTCATCTGACAACCTAGCTAACACCTGTGATTTTAGACGTGGGCAGGGTTAAGCAGTGTAGACAAATGGTCAAGATTTAGAAAACTATGTCACATGCCATTTTTGTGTGTGTGTTTTAATTTTAAATATTTTAATTTCACCTAAAATTTGAATTTTCTTTATCTCACTTGCTTGGAATGCATCACTTTGTTATCTGAGTTCCTAACAATCAGCAAGGCCTCATCAAAAACCTGTGATTGTTCTTTTTTTAATGAGAAAATAACAGAGACTCTGTCTCTTTGCCCAACACTGACTTTATGTTATCTACATTCAGTTTCATCTGCAAACACAAGTCAGAGCCACCAAAAGGATTGTAGCAGTTGCATTTTCCTGAAAGGGACAGCCAGCTGAGTTTCTATCGGTCGCCAAAAGATTCAATGCACTGGAATGAAATAGTACATGCAAGCTGTACATATGTGATGTATATTGAAAATAACTTTGTTTTGTAATTATAAATTAAAACCTTTTAAGAGAGGCTTTGAGAGGGTGGAATTAGTCTAACATCTTACCCCTTAATATTCAGTGAAACAGTGACATGATAGAATGCAAAATTAGGCTTCTGATTTAAGCTTGCCACAGTAGTAGATTTTTAAAATACAAGCTTTATTGTGGAATTATAGTTCAAATATACTCTGTCCCACAGCACCTTTTTTCTACAATTATAGTTTATTATTTAATTTTATTTAAAATTAAAATACTTTGTGCGAAATGTTAATTTAATAAGGTGATATCTCAATGGTATTTTCCATTGAATTTATCATAAAAGGTGTTGACGTTTGAAATAGATAGTAATATAAACTAGCTGAGGGTGATTAAATTATATTATAATGCTATTTCCTCTCACTTTAAAACATAGCATGTCAAAGAGTTCGAATGACAACAAAATACTGTTACTCCTTTATATTTTTTACAGTGTGGTTGTATTCACATTGTCCAGAAGTCTTCAAAATCACTTATATCCCATTTACAAAGGTGACTTAGAAACTGAGTTGCCTAACAAGTCTTTCATGAGAAATCTGTGGGGCTAACACTGCTAAAATTGTGAAAAAGATAATTGAAAATACTATGTTGAATTCCTGTTACCTGAGCATGCATTACCTTGGCTCTTAAGTCATTTTCATCATGTGTGCACGTGTGTGTCTGTGTGTGAAAATTTAATCCAACAGCTGCCCATAAGAATTCCTTCGTTGTCAAGTGTTGAATCATTTGTCAGCAAATTTGACAATATTTGGGAAACCATTTACACCTGCCCTAGGTAAATGGACTAAGCTGCCTCTCAAGTTGAGTTTGCACAAGTGCAAAGCCCGTACGAATGTGAGGCACTGGAGGTGCACATCCCCAGAAGTAACAGAGCAGGTGGAGAGCCCGTGCCTCCAGGATGTTTCCAAGGGAGCTCAGGCCTGTTAGGTCCTGGTTCTGCAGTGCTGTTGTCTTTCCTGTGAAGGGTGAGAAGACTGATACTTGCAAGACCAAAGACTTTTTTCTATTCATTCTTATGTTTCACACCTGCAAAATGCTATTTTGGGAGGTGGCTTTTCTAGAAGTTTTGGCAGCAGAGCCTGTTTAGAAATTGCTGTTAGTGGCTGACTTTTTACCAAGTATAGGTAATGGGCAGTAATCAGCACAGGTATTCACGAAGGGATCATTTTCAGTGGAAGGAATTCTGCTACTTCTTGTTTGCACTGTGGCTACAGTACAGACTGCAAGAAAAATAAAATCCCTGCAGCTGTTTTTCTGAGGTCGCTTCTGTAAAGTGGATTGGTAACCTTGTCAAAAGACCCCATCAAGAGGAGCTTCCAATTTTCCAAGCAGTCAATTATGAGGCTAAGCTGAGACTGTAATAATAAAGGGCTTTGTTAGAAAGCCTAAACGTGCTTAAAGGACCATGAAATCCATACTTCCCATAGGAGGCGTTTGCCTCTGGATGTCTGTATATGTCAGTGACTGCAGTTTTGGAAAAAGAGATGTACTTGCTGAAATATCCATGAATAATTCAGTTATTAGTGGTCAGGGAGTAGGATTTTTGATACCTATAACTGTGTTTCCCCTCACACAAGCTCAAGGTAGCAAGCAACACAGTGTACACCTTCCCTAAAATACAAACTTCTCCAAAAACCCCAATTCTCTTCCCTTTTCCTCTTTCTATCCCTCTCCCTTTCTCTTTCTCTTTTTTTTTTTTTTTTTAAAGGACTGTGGCTTACTGTACCTAAGCATTTCTGGGTAATTAATTTAGGATTAATAGAAGCAGAACAGAACACTGTGACTGTGCTAGCTCATTTCACTTTGGATTTTGAATTCCTCCTCTAAATCAGTTTGTAAAAGCGGGGTATGAACTGAATTGTTCCCCCAAATAAATTTAATTGCAGTGAAGTCTATTGGTATTACTTACACGTCTGACAGGAGAGCTGGATTCCCTGTCTTAAAAACAGTCATGTTCAGATTAGCTAGATATTGCTTTGGATGTACGTGTAGATAAAGATAAGGATAACTATTTGTCAAGTGCCTCTTGCCATGCTGTATGACATCTAACTTGAACAAAAGACTTGCCTTCGGTTTGCAGTGGAATTACATTCTTCATACTAGAGACTTTGAAAAAAAAAAAAAAAGAACCAACCCACAAACTATTCCAACATGAAATGCAAAGCTTCAGGAATATTTCTGGTTAATCTTATAAGCGATGGAGGTACCTCATTTGGGGGTTTGAAGAAAAAAACTTGTGGAAAAGCAAGTGGAACAGCAGGATTTGAATGGCCAGTTTCAAAGTAACTACCTGCAGAAGGACATTGCTGATTGCCCCTGAATATTCTACCCCGTTATACATTGGCCTTTATATATTCCTTGCCCAAGCTTCCAAATCTCCATTCCAGGTTAGTTCTTTGAAGATGCTGCATCATGGCCCAGGGGATTATTTTAGCAGTATTATTCTCTATCAGTATTATTTATTTTAATTATCAGGTACTGGAACAAGAGAATTTTATTCAGTTCACTTATCTAGAGGCTATTTGTAATGTAGATGAGGTGGATGAATACAAAATGCAGAGAAGGCTGCAGCACTTCAAAAAGCCTGTTTTAATGGTGCAGCTAGATGGGTTCCTCAGAATACTTTTCCATAGCTGCTGCTCTGCTCCTTCTTTGGCGTTTGTATTTTGAGCTGCTTTGTGTCTTTACATGCAAAGATTAAGTGTGAGGTGGTGGTGTAGTTTGGTCCTCTCCTCCTCTGGAGCTCTCATCTGTGGCTGCGGATAAGCCCCTTCTGCATAGCAGCATCCAACTCAATGTTAACTACAAATAGCTCAACCTAGAAGGCCTCAGTCCAGGTTTTTAGCATGGAACACTGGAACACCAGTGTCCAGTTCCAGTCCTATTCTCTTGGATCCCCAGAATCGGTCCCATGTCTTTTCCCTTCCTTACAGAAGACTACTTTATAATTTTCACTGGCCTGGCACTTGCACTAACTCTCTGTGCATCTTTTTGCCCTTGCAGGTATGGAGAAGCATTATTTATGAATTCAAAGCTTATCAGTGGGGTCACAGAATTCCTCAATACCGAAGAGGAACTAAGAGAGGTAATTTGGAAATGACTTTCAGCCCATGAGGCTGCATTTGTTGTAAGTAAGGAGCAGGGCAGGCGCAATAAGGTGTTGGTTGTCCGGGAACTGTGGTTGCTCAGCTGGAGTCGCAGGCCGTGCTGCAGCTGGGCAGCACGAGGATGAGGAGCAGATTGCAAAGGCACCTGGGTGGTTAGAGGTGGTGTCAGGAGGTGGGCAGTGGAGGTGGGCACTTCTCTGTGCCTGGCTGGATATGTAGGTTTGGGTTTTTTTCTCTTGACCGAGAAACTAAAGGTGAGATCTTTCTATCCACATTAGTTTACGCGGCAGAGGGCAGCCCTAAAAAACCCCAGTGTTGAAAGTAGAAACTTCCAGTGCCTTCTCTGTTTTTCTTTTGCCTACAGTATTTCCATGTGAGAAAAGCTGTTAACCTGATATTCTGGCCAATTGACACCACAATAATTTGTTCTAAATGCTAAGTACTTCTTATTTAGATTGCAAAGATTTCTCATTTTAACTTAACATCTGCCCTGTCTGAGGTAGTTGTGCTGTTGTGTTATGCTCGGCTTAGCAGCTGCTTGACATTACTCCAAATGGATCAAATGGTTCTTATGCAGCATAATCACCATTAATTGAACTCTGATTGCTCTGTGATATTTTGTGTCCAACCATTTGCCTGCACTCAAGCCTAGTGGCCTCAGGAGCTTGGGGAAGAGCTGCAGCTGGTTTCCTCAAAGCTACCCAGGTGGGAAGGACAGTGCTGGCCAGATCTGAGTATCTGCACTGCACAAGGAAACCCTATGTATTCTTAGTTTCCACCTCCATGATAGCATTGGCAGGCTGCTTGTTTATACTTCCCCTAAAACAAACGGGCTGTGTAAACATTTTGGTATAAGAAGTACAGAGATCAGGCAAGGGCTGATTTTGGTAGTTTCCATCTCCCTCCTATGCTTTTAACTGTGATGGGAATGAGTTGCAGTATCAGCCTTTTCAGTTGTGAGCCCATGCATATAGAGATGTTGCTGGAAGTTAGGTTTAAATAAAACAAGGTGAATTTGGTGTCACCAGGAAACAAAAATTAACTGGTTATGAATAAGCGTTGTTAAAACCACCTAATTTTATACAAGTCAACATAACCAGCAACCTGCTGCGCAGATCAGCCTTGCGGTTCTCACTTAAAAAGAACAGTAATTCAAAGCACACCAGTGCCATCAGCTATAATAATCGAGGTGATAGTGCTATAATTTGAGTATACGCAAGAACAGAGCAGGGGCCTTTTCAGTCCGCTGAAAAAAGATCAAAGATTTCTCATAAAGGAAGTAATCTGTTTCAGGCATTCAAAGATTGTCAAATGAGTGCCCACTTGCTATTTCACAATTCTCTTCACACTGTAACCACCCGCTCCTTTTCTAAACAACCGACCTGTATTATATCATCAAAAGGGTTCTGCAAATCAAAATGAAATAAATTTGTTATGAAGGTTGATAAAACGCGAGGGCATCAGGGCTGCCTTCGGCTGATGTTTGCATCTAAACCTGAATTTCCAGTGCACCCAGTTTGGTTTCTTAGGTCGAAAAAGAAGTTTAGAGCATCCCAGCTATCTGCACAGTGCAGCAGCTGGGCTACAGGAGGGAGGGAAGTAATGATATAAATGTGATCCAGCACTGACATGTCAATATCTTCCAGTACAATTTGAAGCAATTGCATCATATACAATTGACAGTCTGCTGTCTTATTACGTTTCCTGTTAAATCTTTCTAGACCATACTGCATTATACTTCAACAGTGATTGTGGAGGTTTGTCCTAAATGCCTGACTTGTGTGTGTGCACCAGAAATATTTGCTTTCTTTAGTTCCTGCAAATTTAACCTGTTAACTTGTATTTCCAGCTAAAGAACTTTATAAAGAGTTATGAAGAGGGAGCTGCTGCCTCTTTCTCTCGCGCTGTGGAAACAGTGGAAGCCAATGTGCGGTGGCAAAGGCTTTACAAGGAAGAACTATTCCAGTGGCTAAGAAAATCCTTGACGCACTAATCTGTCTTTCCAGCTGAACATTTAACATGAAGCGCTGCAAGAGGAAGAGGAGACATTTTAGAAGTGTTCAACATTAAAATCATGAAGACAAGATAAGATTGCAGGGAGAAGGGGTTTTTTTTCTTTTTTTTTTTTAATTGTGGGATTTTTTTTTTACACTGGGCTCCTGTGAAATTGTCAAGAAGCTTTTCAGAAGAGAAGATCATGAACGCTTGTCAAACCCAGTCCTCAGTGTACACAGCCAAACATGATATTAAGTGGTGCATGTAAACGTTGAAGAAAAACAAACAAAAAACTCTTCAAAGACTGTTCTGTGCATGCTTGTACCGTCCCTGCCTGTATTCTAGCATGCTTATGTATAACAGCCACATTTTGTATGGGAATTCCAGTTACATCAAAGATGGGCATTATACAAAGCACAAAGACTATCTATGACAATCAGTGTTGCAATGAACAAAAGGGAAGGAAGGAAAAGGAAATGCAGAAGGCTTCCAACTTAGGGCAGTATGAGATGTAAAGTCAGCTTTCCCGCTATCTGCCAATTAGTCTGCCACTCAGATTATCTCCTAATGAATACAAAGATGCCAGCTCATTTCTAGAGTTGCCAGTTGTATCTGCAGTCTCCATATTCCCATACTTAAATAAGCAGCATAGAGAGCAAGGAGAGAGAGAAAGAGGGGGGAGAGAGGAAAAAACCAAGAATGAGATAGAAGGACATCATCCATGCGTTATAATTATATACATTTATTCACTGCTGATCAGCGGAACAGTGTAGTTTTAGCTGTGAACGTATGCAGTGTATGAGGGAAGCTTTGCTTTGATTGCACAGAATCCATGAACCACCTCTTCTCAGCAATTTTACAAGGCAGTGGTATTCACCCAACCTGTGCAGTAGTAAGTTATGCAGCTGATAGTGCACAAGTATTATAAATAAACATAGGGTACAAATGGAAATTAGCAAACAGGGAGAACACCTTGCATGCAAAGACATAAAATTAACCAAGAGGGCTGTCTTGCATGTGGTAGACCAGCTTCTGTAACGATTTATTATGATAGACAGATCAGATTCTCCATGTGGGCAATGCGTTTGCAAGTATGGGATGTACCATTTATGCCAACTTACAAAAGTGAAATATGGAGAAAGAGAGGGGTGTGTCTGTGTGTTTGTTTGTACGGGCTAATATGGTTTTCTTTCTGTTCCCTTGTATTTCAGATAGGCTGTCCTAGATGAGTGCTGCTATATTTGTTTCTTTTTTCTCAATCCTTAATCTGAAAGACTGGTGATACAGTGGAACTGCTGCTTGTACAGTGACCATCTGCACCATTGGTGCTAAGGGTCGAGGGTAAAACTGGTGGGGGCCAAATACTCTCACATGTTTGCACCACAGAGAAAAAAGAAAAACCAAACACAAAACTACAGAGAGTTTTCAGGAAGCAGATTGCAGCAGCTTCAGAGGGGGAATGCGGATGTATGACAGTGTTTCTTTGTCCCATCGCAGCTGTCACAACCATCTGACCACATCATGGCCCCGTACCTTGGGAACATGTGGCCAGCCAAAGTAGAGAACAGCCCTTTTATCTAGTTGTTCCCTTCACAGGGTGTGGAAGTTGCCAACATGCTTTCCAGTTGCAGTTGCTTAACCCCAGTAAGTTATGAATTGAAATGTTAGTGCAAAAAGAACCAAACCCAAGCATCTTCAGATATCAGAGTTGTCTGAAGATGGTAGTGCTTTCTGAGCTCTCATTCCCATGGTACTCTGCTCCTCAAGAACTGGTAGACACATCCCATAACTAAGCTGTCATTTTGTGTCTTTCACTATGTGGAGGGTGCTGTTTGTGGCTTGGGTGCATAAAATCCTTGTGTGGGCATTTGCTCCACTGTTCAGTGCTATGTAGCACTGTGTGTTAGCTTGACCACATATAACCAAAAGAAGAGGGAATCCTGTGCTCTTGTACTCTTAACTCTTTGCCTTATAGTAAGCCCTAAACCTTTGTGCTACATTGCAATGCTAGTGAACCTAATGCCCAGAGACATTATCATGGCCAAGTTGAGTGAAATCCTCCTCCTCCTATGTATTTTACCTACCTCACAGGGGTGTTGTGAGGCTTGACTAATGTTAGCAAAGCACTTGAATATCCTCTGATGAAAGGCATTTAAAAGTGCAAAGTATTATTTTGTGTGGTTGACCAAACTCAACCTCAATGCCAGTATGTAGCGTCACATTTTTAATTTCTCCTGAACAAAATCACATGCAGATTTGTTATAACAAAAAAGCAAGCCAAAAATTATTAAATATAACCTCTACCCTGTAATGAAGGCCAAAATTACAATATCCAAAGACTGTGCAGAAAACCAAGCCCTCAAACATGAATTACTTTGAGGATTTCAGAGAAGTGCGTAATGGTCTGTCCCTTTGCAATTTTATTCAATATTGTCTTCGATAACTTTTTTTTTTTTCAGCACCAGAGATTAAACCACATACCTCCAGGATGTGCACAGAAGTTTCTGGTCTTTCCACTGATAAAGGACAGGCTAACAATGTGTTCCAAAGTCAAAAGTTTATTTCAGCCTGTGTATTCTGCACAGGAATTTCCACTGTTGCTCATTTGAATTGAAGTTCTTGCACATTTAGCTGGTATTGGATGTAAATTAATATTTTAGTGGCCTTGAGCAACTGGTCTACCACAGATACCAAGCCCTAATTGTATCTATTATATATACCCGTTGAAGTATTGTTTATAATTGTTGTATTCTAGTAATGTTGGTATTACCGCTATAGCTAAGGTTGAGCTGGCCTTTCCATTATAATTCCCTATTCTTTTACTTTTTATATTTTGTATTTTGCTGTTTCACACTGAATCAGGATTAAATTTAAATAGATTAAATCCAACAAAACTATAGCTGTTTTCTACAATATTCAACCCCCTTGCATTTAAGTATATGTCTTTAGAAACTTTTTTTAATAAGAAGTTCCACACAGCTGTGTGTTAAAGAATAGTTGATACCTCATGGAAAGCTCTAATACAGTCTGCTTAGAAAAATCTATTTATCTTATTTTCTTTCTCTACCCATCCTTTTCTTGCTTTGTCCTTATGTAAAGATGGTCCCCATTTTTATAATTAGGATTGTGATTAGGAAGCCAAATACCCCAAACTTTTCAGCATTTTCAAATCCAAAATTTAATTTTATCCTTTCTAGTGAGAGGAAAGGCTGCAAAATGTGAATCCAGTGTGGATGTGGCCCTCACCCAGGCCCTGGGTGTCATTTTACAGAGATTTGATGAGGTCTGTATCTCTAATCAGCGTTTGTATGACTCAGGATCCTTTGCAGTTATTAATTGATACAGCTCGCTAAATCATATAGGAAGACATATGAATAGACATGAGTTTATGCCAGCATAACAATATACCTATTGTAAAAATACCTACTGTATTTTTATAACGTTGTCCACTAAAAAAATTCAGCCTATTACTTTGTAGCTGGTAGAATTATTCATATATCCACTGCTAATAGCTGTTAAAATGATAGTAGCCACTAATTATGACCAGGGCAGAACAATGCGAAAACATTCTTCTGAAACGAAATGTCACTTCTGCTATTACTGGGAGTACTTAGACATTGATTTTGATGAAAAAGCCTTCATATGTCCTTAAGTACATCCAAATTTGTGACCCTTGATGATATTTTCAGTGAATATAGCAAGAATTCTGATACGACATTAGAAACTGGAGATGAATTCTGTGTAGCTTTTGGGCTGTTGTAGATGTTTCACTGAGCTTTAGAGCATCAAAGGAAATATCTCCACTGATGCAGAAGGGTGCTTTCACAGGGAAGATCCTGAACCATACAATTAAATCCTTAGTAGTAAATAATAAAAGAAGAAAATTATATATATATATAGTCATGTGAAAAATCCTCTGCAGAGATAATTTTCTTATAAAATGTCAGTAAGTCTGATTATTTGGATAGAATAAAGTGAAGACAATATTTACAGGTAAGGGTGCCTTTGTTTAGATACCTGCATAATATGGTTTTGGTTTTCCACATGATCATAGTCGATACCGAAATCAGTGAAAATAGACTTTGAGTCAAATGTGCAACTTTCTCTTTGAGGAAAAGGGATGTGGCTTTAAAAACTGTTTATGTATATAATCAACTTACCACCACTTCTGATATGAGTCCTCACCATGTCAGGCTCCCTGTCATAAGCAGGATTTATCGCCACAGTGTCGGTATGCGCATGAAGGGGTAAAAGGACCGTCCCGCTTCTGAGCAGCCTGAATAGAGGCCGTTTGCCCAGCGTTGGATGGAGCAGTCTGAAAACTGCTGGCTGCATCATCTGCCGCTGCCGCCAGCCCACCCAGGTCAGGAAGGCAGCTGGGAACCACTGAAGTGCAGAGAGGCTCCATCTAAGTTTCTCTCAGCTAGGCGGGAGGGACAGAAAGTCCCTTTGCCCATTAGGGGTTGTGGGTGATCTTCAGAGATTGGCGTCATCACCTCGTGTGGGCAGGAAACAAAGTGAGCCTGCATTGCACAGAAAAACCTAAATCCCTGAGCTCTGGTCACCCCAACTGTTGACTGAAATCTTGGTAGAGGCCTAGAAAAATGTAAGTACTTCAGAAGTCATTTCAAATGGTGAAAAAGTATTTTGATTTTTCAGTGCGTAAGAACACACAGTATTTTCCTTCATGGTATTTCTGTTAATGTCGAAAATGTGCCAGGAGTTTCTCAGGCCTTTTTCTAACGAAGGGTTTGGAAGGATTAATAGTAGTAACAGTAGTCACTGTACTAACGCCACAAAAAATTTCAGATGCCTGTGCAAACCTGTATGGCACCAGTGTCTGTGCTGTTCCCTTTGCGCATACAAAACTGTAAAAAATTGGCCATTTTGTTTCTCATGTGGCTGTGGAAGCTTCTGCCTATCTTAAAACCAGTACTGAAACCCTGTGAAACCACTGTCACTTGAGCAAGTAATCCATGCTCACATGAGTAATTTAGT